ATGCCAATTGCAACAGCTTCACAGAGTGAAAAATTACAAAAGGAGGACCAAAAATTACAAAATACAGTTTTTAGGCTGGATTATGTCCATTTCAGCCCCTTAATATTTCTACAACATATGTTTCAAGTGAAAAGTCAGCAACAACAACAACAAAAAAAAACCTCAAACCACTATTTCAAGCAGTTCTCATAATAAAATGCTAGTAGATAGTCCATTCAATAAACTATTAGAAAAAATAAAAATAGCAGCTGGCAAAAGTCATGCTAGGGTTTTAAGTGAGCCTGAAAATATATACGCAGTTAAAGAAAGAAAAAAAGATGTTCCCTTTAGCATTGTGTTTACTGCTACCAAACTACAGTAGCCAAGCAATGCAATATATAAAGCACAATACGCTTCAAAATAAGGCATTTTATCCTTGGCTCCCCACAACCCAACATGATGCAAAACTGCCTTTTTTAACCCTCCTTTTTGCCTAGCTGTATGTTTTCATAGACCTAAAATTTGAAAACATACGGGGGGGGAAGAAAAAAAAAAAAGTCTTTTTAGACAGCTTTTTCCTTCAAATCCCCAGCAAAGGGAAGAAGCAGCACCTGAAGACCAAATGGATGTAAGTGAAACTCCTGTGGGGATGCTAAGGAGGATTAAGCTATGACAATTCACAAATAACAGACATCCCAGGCTATGCATCTCATGTCGTATTATTCTCAGCAATACCACAATTTTAGCAATTGCCTCAATTTCCTTAAGCAGCACTGTAAAGGCAATCCCTAAGAAAATGCAAAGAAAAACAGTTGTTGAATTTTTATGCTCATTTCTATGATAATTCAGGTCTGTTGAGTAATTGCCTAACGTGACTAGGAAAATTAAACTTATATTCACATTTTAAAGAAAAAGTACAGCATTGAAGAGGCTTTCAGAGTGAACTGAGACGTACCTGCATTACCTGAGCCTTCCCTAGGCTTCCAACCTTAGATACTATTGCACTGGGGGAACCTGGTGTGCTGACTCTAAGGAACAGTACGGAGCATAGAGCGGAGTGGAGACATCACAGATAGGCTCCATGACGAGAGGGGAACTCGATTGTTCTTGAGCACACCGAGACCGATAAGCTGCACATTTGTTACCCTGAGCCAATGACCTGTCATGTTTTTGACAAAATGCTGTACCCTAGTAAACTTTTGCGCATTACAATATCATTATAATACCAAAACACACCTCCATCCCAAAAGCTACCTGCCTCTAAGGTGAGACCACTCCTCACTGAGCATGTGCTCTAAATTTCTCGGAGCCTATACCTTTAAAAAAAACAAGAATGATTTACCAATTATTCTGTGATAACCAAGATATGCTTGACTAGAGTCACTCAAGCTCCACCTAAAATATAGAAATAATATAAATTGGCTCAAGAGAGAGGGGATGTCAGGAAAGGTACCATCCTGGCTTCTGGGATCAGTTGACGGGCTGAGCCTCTCTTCCACCCACTTTGGGACACCTTTGGGTGAGATTTGAACACTTGGTTATACTGGGTGTCTCCGTGGAAACTTAGAGATCTCTAGAGTCTTTGTGCCTTTTAACGCATTAAAAGCCAGGATGAGTACCTGTGTATTTCATGCGTGCTAGCTTGCTTTTGCAGACTGTGAATTTATCACCAGCAATCTAAAGAACCTGTGTACCTGTTGCTGTAATAAATTGCACTTAATTGCTTTGTTCCTAGCCGTGAAAGTTCTCATTGAACGCAACTAGAGTGTTACATTGTTGGAGAATGCGTGACCGTGATAGTTCAGTACCTGAAATTTGACCAGACCCATAACAGTTAATTGTCTACACCCCTTAATGCGACAAGGTCTCTATTTTTACTTCAGAGCTAGACCCTGGGCTTCAGGGCTTATCTATCACTAATATAAGCCAATGAAAGGAGGTCTTTGCTGCCATCAAAGGGTATTGAATCAAGTCTTCAATCAGCCTTGGTTAACAACAAGTACTAGTATCAAAATTGTACACCGATTTGAACCACTCCAACATCTAACTATACTTTTACACATGAAAACTGTTGGAAACAAATGAGGCCTTCTCATTGTAAAACAGAAGCCAGCAAACTAGCCAAAAAATGCTTTTCTACCCCATGTAAAAAAAATCTGGAGAAGTGAGGGTGTGAAGGGAAAGGAAAGGGCTTTCGCCCAGGAATCTGCTCTGGAAATAAGCGGCTCTCCTGCCCCAGCTGAGCCCATGTGTACATGGAAGGAGTTATACGGGCCAAATATCAATATTGGGAACCCAGGAGATCAAATCAGCAAGGAGTGTTTAAAAAGAAACTTTTAATTCTATTGAATCAGTAAAGTTTTGATACCAGCTCCAACCACAAAGCTCACTGGGACAGCTAAAGGCATTAACAAACACCAGCTAACAAGAAGTACCCAACAAGCAAAACCCTCCTTTATTCTCTTTTCTTCCATTTAAACAACTACAAATAATCAATGAGTAAAATAAGAAAATAAATCTTTCAGCTAGTGATGCAGTTAGTTTAAGAACAGGATTTTTATCAGAAATATTTTACCTCTTCTTACTGCTAGTACTAAACCAAAATCAATGACAAGGTAAAATTCCACTTTCCTGCCTCCACATGCTTAATTTTTTTTATAATTTGGCAGCTTACAGTGCAGACAGGATCTCTGCTTGCTGTCTCATGTTCTAGGTCTAAACCTGCAAGTATCAGTGCATGTTAACGCTGCTTGGATGACAGTTAAAGCTGTGTTTGACTAGAGCAACCTCAGCAGCCCATTTCCATCCTTGGGTCCCATTTCAATTTACTGAATGGCTGTTTCTCTCCTTTGCATCAGGAAGAGAGAAACAGGATAACGTTGTATGGGCTCATAACAGGTGGCCCATTTTGTGCAAGATTCAGAAGTCTGGCATCACTCTGAGTTGCAGGGGAAATTGAGAATTTTGAAATTCTTCTCAAAGTACAACTAAGAACACTTTGCTTTTTTATGTTACTATAAACAGCACAACAAACATGCAGAACAAAAAGATTTTTCTAAGCTATTAACATCATTTCTTCTACCAGCTCTTCTTTCACTTGCTTCATTAGCTGAAAAAACAGAACTGAAACATTCTGTGTGTGGCTTGAAGTTCGTCAGCAGATACCTTTCACAGACACTTCAGTAGAATCCTGCCCCCATTCAACACAATACAACTTGAACACTTCTGAATGCCATCCAGTATAGCTTTAATGATTTACTAATTTGCTAATGTTCCAAAAGAAAACTGAAACAACACATGGACCCCAAACTTTGTTACTTCTGCTTTCTTTCCTACAGTAGTTCTAACTGGTTCGCCATTAGAGAATGTATTCTGTAGCAATTCCATGACAATTCAAAGAAAAAACAGTAACTCACATCAGCGTTTCTACTTTCTCACTCCTCAACACTAAATAATGCACTAGTAATTATTGTTTTATCTTCTGGGAAGAAAGGAGAAACACAACAAATAAAATCCCATACATTTCATACAGTCCATTTTATTTGGCAAAGACAGTAGAAATAGCTGAGGATGGTGAGACAGCAGAAGCTTACATACATGTATTTGGGGAGGGGATTATTATGTGTGTTGATATGAGGCTGTAAGATAGAATCTGCACTACTCTGGAGATACGCAAATAAGTAAAGAATGGAGCAAGAATAATTTTTGTACTAGTTTCTGCTGTCTAAAAAAATACGATCATCCATTTCTCCAGAAATGTTAATAAGGCTTACAGGAGAGAAAAAAATATACACAGAGAAATGCAGCAAGAACTGTATTTATTAGAATTTCTCCTGGGGCATATGACCCACATAAGCCCTGAAAACCCTTCCACCTCTCCTATCTGAACTTTGAGGAAACGAAATCCAAGCTCCTCTGTGAAAAGGAAAAAGACTGAAGCTTCCCCTTTTTACTAGTGATACATTACAATGACTTCTATTTGCATAAAAATAAAAACAACACAATCAGTTGGATGTAAATCAAAAAGATACCCCATCTTGTTCTTTTCCCTAACGTCCACAGAAAGATTTCTTTTTGTACAGGGTTTCAAATGATTTCTTCTTTTAATAAAGGGAAAAGAAAATTGCCTCTAAATAGAAGGGGACTTTAAGAATACTCAAAATACATTGAAAAATGGTCCAAACAGCTCAGAAAATGCAAGCTGAAAGAACACATCATCTCATCTCCTACAGTTAAATAATCCCACTGACCCAACCAGTTGTGGTTCTAGCTGTATTTGGACCCCTGCGGCAGTGGGACACATGAAGCACATGAATACAGACAATACGTGTTTGTGGCCACTTCCCCAAAAAGCTTCTGAATAAGTCAATCAACTTCAACCAAGCATAGCAGAGCAGTAGAGTTTCAATGCCATCACGTTCCTATGACTTTCATAAAAACAGGAGTCATAGAGATGAGGAGGATCCTGGTAAGGTCCTTCTCTGAGGAAAAAGCTATGTTATGATCTAAGCTCTATTTCACATCAGCTAATCAACATGGAATTTCAACTGTGAAACTTTAATCCACAAACTAAATTTCTTTGGGTCCACTGCTTGCTGGAACTACAAGTACTAAAGATATGACTACATACTACTATCACAAATAATACTCCTACTAACACGTATATTCATTATGTAAATCCCACCGCAAAAACTGAATGTAGTGTTTACGCAATAAACACAGACGGTATTCCTCTTCAGATCTCAGCACTGAGCTTTTTGCACAAGTATCAAGATTTGACAGTCAGCGTATGTTAAATGTTGTCTTGTACATTAGCTAACAGCAGGCCCTCTTCTTATCCCCACCCACAGAGAGGGGTACAATATCCATATGGTGCACATACACAAGGAAAAAAAAAAGGATGTTTATAGACCTAAAAATAAGGAAAAGCTTTTGGCAGTAAAGGTGAAACTAGTACAGACATCTGGAAGTAAGAAAGCCAACCATAAAACTGAGGGGCTGGAAGCAACTTTCATTCCTACCTGGTTCAGTGCAATTTCTGACATAGACCTGCCCCCCATCCTCTGGGACCTCAGTCGTGTTGTCCTCATTTGCTTGCAGTAACTGTCTCCCACTCCATTTGTCATTGATTTCCACAGAAAAGCTCAAAGCATCATAACCTAAAACAAACAAACAAACAAAAAATCAGTGAGACTGCACAGGAAAGGTGACTCGTGATACTGTTCCTAAATGTTTAGAGCACCCAAGAACATCTGCATTTCGGACTCAGTGCCCCTTGCATTAAAAACAGAGGCATTTCAAACCCCACTGGAAAGGTATGCTGCTGCTAGCTCTACATCCCAGCTAGTCCCAAAAACACGAGGAGTGTAGTGTGTTTACATGGCAAGGTTTTGGTAGCAGGGGGCCATAGGGGTGGCTTCTGCAAGAAGAATCCAGAAGCTGCTCCATATAAGATAATGGCCCTGTCACTGGCCAAAGGCAGGCCAATAAGCAATATTGTTTGCACCTCTGTGAAAGCATATTTAAGAGAGGGAACAAATTGCTGTGGTACAGCAGCTGGGAGAGAGAGAGGAGTGAGAAACAGCCTTGCAGGTGCCAAGGTCAGTGAAGATGGAGGGGGAGAGGTGCTCCAAGCACCAGAGCAGAAGTCCCCTGCGACCTGTGGTGAGGCCCACGGTGGAGAAGGCTGTCCCCCCGCAGCCCATGGAGTACCACGGTGGAGCAGGGTTCCACGCTGCAGCCCGTGGAGGAGACCACAGCAGAGCAGGTGGCTCTGCACCGATGGAGGCTGCCGCCTGTGGAGGAACCCTACCACAGCAGATTCCAGGCTGGAGCTGTAGCCCATCGAGAGGAGCCCACGCAAGAGCAAGGTGTCTGGGGGGAGCTGCCACCTGTGGGGGATCCAGGTTGGAGCAGTTTCCTCCTGATGGATGGACCCCATGGTACAGACCCATATCTGGAGCAGTTGATGAAGAACTGCTGCCTGTGGGAAGCCCATGCAGGATCAGTTCCGGAAGGATGGCATCCCGTGGGAGGGACCCCATGTTGGAGCAGAGAAAGAGAGTGACTGAGAAGGAGCAGCAGAGATGAAGTGCTACAGACTGACCACAACCCCCATTCCCCTGCACCACTTGTGGGGAGGAGGCGGAAGAGGGTAGATGGGGGAAAGCATCTTTGGTTTCTTTCCTTTGTTTCTCACTTCTCTAGCTTGTTAGTAAGAGGCAATAAATCTTACTATCTCCCTACTCTGAGTCTGTTTTGCCCATTTCAATAATTGTTGAGTGATCTCCCTATCCTCATCTCAACCCTTGAGCCTTTTGTGCTGTATTTTCTCCCCCTTCCCCTTTGAGAAGGGGGAGTAAGAGAGTGGCCATGGTGGAACTCTGCTTCCCACCTGAGTAAAACCACCACAAGGAGTCAGGTCCATTCCTTCACAACTTTACTTATTGAAAATGTTCATAGTAAAAGTGTGTCTAAAATCTCACAAGGAGTTTTAAGTGCAAAATCGGTTTAAAACTGAAGTATCATCCATTGTTGCCAGGAAAAAAAAAAAGCGAAAAAAAAATCCTTGAACACCTACAAAATTCATTAGATCTGTAGGCACCTCACTGCTCTTCAGTACCACAGTACCAGCAAAAGTCTACCGAATTTTGCACATGGTGAGAAAACACTTAAGCCACTTCTGCTTAGGACTGAGATCAAGCTGGCTGCTGAATGAGTCCTAAGAGAGGCAGGCTTTGACACAGAAGACAGGTAGGCTTCTCTGTGATTAATAATGTGCTCAGCAGGTGCTAGGAAAGCTCTGCCTGCACAGAGTGTGTGGCTTCTTGTGCCTGCAGAGGCACAGCTCAGCAACTTGCACCATGACAGGCATCAGGAGAGGGAGACTGCAAGAAAGAGGGTACTGAGGTGCAGGAGCAATCACCGTTTAAAATTATGTCTTGTAATAAAGGTCGGAAAGCTATATTGACCAAACTGGTCAACAGGGACCCATTTCAATATCTTGTGTCCAATGCAATGTCCAATTTCCATGTCAGTGGAAAGGCTCCTGAACCTGCTCCCCATGGGCCAGCCAGCAGCTTTTCAATGCGTTATGAAACATTCATTCATAAACATGAAGTGTACAGCTTCCTTCAGGTTCTGCTCACAGAGCAGAAAACAACTGATAAATGCATCTTTACGAGAATATGGCCATATCTACCCTCAGAACAGTTATTAAGCCCAAACGCACCGTTATTCCCACCCAACACAGCCTCACTTCAGCCACTGAGATCACAGGGTATGGGGCCAGAGCATGCCTCTGAGCCACTTCAGAAACCTTCCCTACTTCAAATTGTCAAGTAATACCTACAGACATCAGGGAGGTACTTTATGGAAAAAGGGATAAACCTCAGCCCAGCTGGTGTTAACCATTTTAGACCAGGGGGTCTGAATTTACTCTCTACCATGCCCTCACATGTAAAGTCCTTCAAACGCAAAGCATGTGTGCATTAATGACTTCACATTTTCCAAACATCAGCCATCTTGTTTTTGCTTGCCAGTTTCCTTGCTAGTGAGACCCAGACTGGATTGCAAAACCACTGCATGCCATCACACATGTTTTCAGCACTACACACAATTGCTGCTGAGAATACTAAAAACCAATCCCAGAAGTCTATTCCTAGGCCATCAACCAGTGAAACAAGAATCAACCTGGAACCTGGAAGACAAGTAGCAGAGTAGTAAAACGGGGAGACTGGAGCAACACGTCTTCAACTCCAGCAAAAGATGAATAAAGGGGGGATGAACATCAGGACTTTGCTGCAGAGAAGCCACAAAGAACTCAAGAGAAGACATTGAGAAGCAAGTGTATGCAATAACAGCTGGGCAAGAAACACACTGAAAGGTAGACTGACTGGGTACCAAAACCAATTTGCATGCAATAAACCTGAAGACGTATCACGCCACGCCACCAGCTCCCATTTACAGCACAGTGTATCAAACTGCAGTTGTTCTAGGGCAGCTTCATGACCCAAACTCATTGACTGGTTGCAGCTGAACACTTCACTTGGCATTCTCCTGCCAGACTTACAAGGTATGGGATGATTTCTGAAAACAGTATGTAACAAGTAACCCCACAAATGTAACATACAATTACTTTGCCCCATTACTTCTGACCCTTTCCTTGCTTTACTCCCATCTTCAGCTTTGCAAGGTACCATGAAACAAAGCTCTATTTTAGCAAGGTCAACAAGAACAGATGGCTGTTTTCCATGGCATTCTTAGTACAATGCTGGTCAGCCTTGGACATGTCATGTCTACCTGTTTAAGTGAAAGGACATACTCATGTATCGGTTCCATGCTTCCTATATAGTTCTCAATTCAAATGAGGAAAAAAAATGTATTTATTTAAAGAAGCCAAAGCACCCAATTCAAGCAGGCACCTACATCAACCATCTTGCAGGAGAGACCTTGAGCCTGACAACAAACAACATGTGGAAGATCTCTACCCATCTTCCTGCCAAGCAGATCTGGGGCTCTCTCACAAGGACTTTGCTACTCAAGTTACCCTTCAAGTGCCTATCATGGCCTTTCTCCTGAACATGCTCAGGCTGTAGCAAACCCTGGCTGTCCTGCCAACTGGCAAGAACATGCAGTTGTTTGTCCAAAATATAGGGCACTTTGAAGCGAGCCAGAAATGGCAGGCTGAACTCTACAGAGGCTGCAGTCTGCACCCTGTGGCTGGAGACTTAAAGCCACCACTAAAACTTGACCCTTCCCGGTTCTGTTCAGTCTGAAGGACGCTCTGAAGAAAGACCACAGAGCACTGGAAGTGAGACTCAAGTCTTGGGGACATGCCTCAGGGGATGCCTAAGAATAACAGAAAAGGTTCCTTGAGGGTCCCAACCACTTCTCTACTTTTCTAACTCATTCCATTGAGATGGAGGTGGCTAACCTGAGTCTTTCCTGTCTTGCCCACATCAAAGCATGGTCAGGGCAGCTCCCAAGTCACAAGGGGGAAAAATCACACATTGCACAGGCAGCCTTAGGTACCTTGCGTCCTAAACAAAATAAATAAATTAATAAATAACACATTATTCTCCACTTGCTATGCTTTACAAACTTTACAGAATGTTCTTTGCTATTTGTTTAGTCTGTGAGCGTGGATGAGAGCTTAAGCTGTGAGTTAAACGTATACAAATATCACTGATAGAAGCGGACTGCATTTCTCAAAATGAGTGCACCCAATAATGTAACATCAGGCATCTTCCTTAATAATAAACATGCTCTGGTAATCTGAGCTAAGCAGCTTCGGTTCCACATGCTAGCTGTTTTCGAAGCACTGAGGCTCCTCTCCCAGCGGTCAGAGCTTCACTGCACATTGCTACAGGGAGGAAAAGTGCAAGGAGAATCCACAAGGACTGCAGTGACCCAGAGGTTCCTGCAGAAACCTCTCCCACTTCCTCCCAGCACAAAACAGCTTTTGGCCTCCAATTGAAAGCTTTTCCAAAAGAAGGAAAGAGAGGAGAAAAAAAAAAAAAAAAGAAAGAAATAGCCATTTGAGATAGATTAGGGGGCGGAGGGAGGATTAGTTTAGAAGTACCTGCTTATAACAGCTTCATTCTGCATTCACACAAATCGCAACTAGCAGCAGAATCTGTCTGCAGCCAAACTTGAGGGCACTACTGCAACTTGCACCAGCAAAAGCTTTCCTCTCACCACACCAGGTTTATTACGCAGGCCAGCTGTCCCATGGCAGGACTCACACTCCACTGAACCCAAAAGCCCATAAACGAGGGACCTCGCCCTATTTCACCTCCAGGACAGTTTCAAACAGGCAGCACAACAATCACAGTCTTGAGAGCAAATCTTTTGCAACACGTGCTTTTGGCTCCTCATTTCTGACTGTGTCTTGCAATCCTTTATTCATCTGCCCTAATGCAAAACTTATGCTGACATGAAGCTTCCCATCAGCTGCCAGAAGTTGTGGGGCCCGAGCCCCTACTTTGTTGAACAAGAGCCCAATCCATTGATTGAAATATATAATACACAGCCAGCACAACGTAGAACAAAAGTCCTATCTTCTGCAGAAGGACTGTGAAAACAGCAATGAGTAAACAAATTGTTCAAGGACAAATAACAAAGGTTAGAAAAAGAAAGCCAATAGTTTTCTATCTGA